CCCATCTACTTTTTCAGGATATTTTTGGGGGCTAACAGAGTTTAGATACGACGGCTAGTAAATCACATTTTTTGCAATTGTGTTAATTTGAAAAATAGATTTGCATAAAATCAGGTCAAAATAACGGACGTGGAAAAATAAATTCTGTATTCCCTAAGTGGCTATTTGTGGTATTTATCTTCCACTTTACCACAATTCCCTATTTACTAACTAAGTTAGGCACTGGTCTGAGTCACAGAATATTCTGTTGCCACAAAATGTTCTTGTTTTCGATTTTGTGATGTTTCCAGGATTTCATCCCAAAAATAGATCCACTGCGGAATACAAGTACTATTTAAAAAATAAAAAGAATTCAACATAAATCTAAATTTATTGAGGACAACAATAGGTAAAATGCTTTGTGAGTTGAAGTATTTGGCATTGTCTTGGCAACAACCATGAGTCATTATGTTTTCTGAGTACAATACAATAGTCTCTTTCCTGTACACATAACCTCTGCCCTCTGTACTGTGGGACATCTGTCACTTCTAAAAATACGGACTTAATTTGGTGATAGATGTATCAAGTCACAAAACACAAATACTTGTTTACTCGTTCAGAATTTCCATAGTCACATCACGAGTGTGCTTCTACTATTGACCATCGCTCAAGGAGTAATCCACAAAGCATTCTGGGTAACACTATGGAAATGACCAAGTTCCGTGTGTAAGTGGCTACCAATCCTTTGTAAACTTACATGTTTGACTACAAGGTTTTACTTAATATATTATACAGCATGGAATGTCAGGAGGGTAAAATATGGAAATAAGTAAACCCTCCATCCACTCTGAATCATACGTCAGTTTGCCAGAAAATTATTCTGGATAATAATATGGAAAACAGCACAGGGATTATCACACAAACAAAAACACGTAGAGCATTTAATACTCAGATATGCTAACATATAAGAAAATATAACCTATTCCTTCTCTACAAAGGCAGCTTTGCAGGTAATTTGATCTTGATTTTCAAATCCATGTGAAGAGATTGTAAAATTCCAGTAATTTTATTTAATATATACAGGATACATTGAAGAAATCAGAAAAATAAAAATATCCAATGCTAGCAACTCTTACATTTTGAGCTGAATAGCCTTTAATCAGAGGCCATCAAGCCATAGGTATCATAGCTGTGAAACGTCTACTAATGTCTCCTATAATATGGTACCGTGTTTCCCCGAAAATACACCCTACCCGAAAATAAGCCCTAGCCGGATTATCGGGGTGGGCTGCAATATAAGCCCTACCCCGAAAATAAGACCTAGGCATTGCACCTTTGCGGCCTGGCAAGACTTCCTTCTTCTACCGTATGAGGAGGAGTGGTAGGAGCGTTGCGGGCCGCGGCATTGCGCAACGTGATGACGACCTTTTGCAGCGCCGTCAGTCTGCCTTCACGGATCTTCAGCGGAAGGATCCATTTCCGGGCGGTGAGGCACCCAGTGGTCGGACTCGGCGGGCAAGGAATCTTTGAAATGTGAGTAGATATTTTATGTCAGGGACTGAATTAATTAAAGGGGGGGTGAATTAATTAAAGGGGGGTGAATTAATTAAAGGGTGGGCTGGATTAATTAAAGGGGTGGTGAATTAATTAAAGGGTGGACTGTATTAATTAGAGGGGGTGAATTAATTAAAGGGGTGGTGAATTAATTAAAGGGTGGGCTGGATTAATTAGGGGGTGGGATTTATTAAGATTTATTAAAGGGGTGGATTAATTAAAGTGGATTAATTAGAGGGGGGTGGATTAATTAGAGGGGGTGGATTAATTAAAGGGGTGGTGGATTAATTAGAGGGGGTGGATTAATTAGAGGGGGATAGATTAATTAAAGGGGGTGGATTAATTAGAGGGGGATAGATTAATTAAAGGGGGTGGATTAATTAGACAGTACGGTATTTTGATCCCCAGACGAGATGAGTGCAAAGAGAAAGAGCTGTACATACCGGTACCGTAAATAAATAAGCCCTGCCCTGAAAATAAGCCCTAGTGTGTTTTTTGTGACTAAAATTAATATAAGACCCGGTCTTATTTTCGGAGAAACACGGGTAATATATGTCAGTATATTTTTTAAGTCTGATGGAATTGGATTAGGAAACTTACTTGCAACTCTGGGTTGGGAAATGTTAGGAAACATGGGTGCAACTTCGTTGCCCCCGAATAACTTTCAGGTGGCGGAACAATGACCATGGATATTTAAAGGAAGGACAAACTGAAGGCATCAAACCCATTATGCCCAAGCACATCATTGTCCAAATATGTTTCCCATGAGATTAGATGAACGCAGTTTTAGTCACCAATAAACTTCTTCACTTGTGATTTACATAAGAATTTAAATGCCATGTTTAGTTACATGCACATGATAGAGGTGTAGAAATACATTTTTTTTTTAAATTCTTTATTTTGAAGGTGCATGTCGACATATCAGGAGTTACAGTGACAAAAGTAATAGATTTAACATGGCATAAGGCTGGTTTAGAGGTATTACATAACTTGTCAAGTCAAGCTGCAGACAATTGTAAATTTTTTTAACATGTTGCGTTACAAGGACTGGTGGAAATGCATTTTAAGTGTGAGTGCAAATATGAGCAGTAGGTGGTGCTCTAATAAACGAAGGTAAGTTACCTGCTGCAACCTGTTCCGTTCCAGAAAAAGAAATACTATCTCGTTTCAGTGTGTAGAACCAATGTTAAACCTGACAGCACAGACCTTTATTCAGACCCCAATACTTCCATTTGGAATGCGGGTAGTCTAGCTTTGGATATCTGTTGAGAGTGTTGATCTAGGTCCACCACCCCGTGTCCTGTCATTATGCTGTTTGCATTTGAAGGTCGTGTGTGCACCCTGTTTAAACCCCTTAACTACACATGACATGTGTGACATGTCATGATTCCCTTTTATTCCAGAAGTTTGGTCCTTAAGGGGTTAAACACTTGCTAGCTGGCAAAAAGATAGTTTGTGACAATACAGGTTTCAGTTTCAACTAGTTTGTTTCTCTGGCTTCCATTCAGTGTTATGTACTAAAACGTCAATTGTCAGGAGTTCAAGGCGATTTTCAAACTTGAATTCAAACTAGCAGAACTGGCAGTGTACCTGGTTTTAAGGATTTCTCCAGTTCTGCTTATTTTTGGGAAATAATGTCGAAATTCCCATTTATATGGAAGTGGCAGCAAATAGCTAAAAGGTGCAAGGAACACTGGACTAATGATGTAAGGAGACACGGCTGAATACATGAATTGAGAGAACTGAAAGAATTGTAGCCAGCCTATTGTCATTCATGTCCAACAGTGAGACCACGTGAATCATTGATATATCATGATAAGAAAGAAATTAAACATATACAAGCAGCTCATAAACTTTAATTGCCATATGATAGACCCCCAATAGTTGTAGTACCACAATTCCCATGATGCTTTGCCATCCTCGAGGCTGGAAGGTCAATCTCTGGTCAACTTTCTTTTTCTCGCATGCATCTGTTGTAAAAAACACTAATCGTACCAGATTTTCATTGCTGTAAAAAACATTTACTACTGTGAAAAAAGCACACAGCTGTCAGCGCATACTATACGTGTCCAAGCACGAGTGAGATCAGAGCAAACAGAGCCAAAGAGAACATTAGGTTACATTTGTATTTTTTTCTCATTTTAATGCATTACCTGTATAATGCATTATTTTGTTTAAAAGAATAATGACAAAGATTATTGCAAAACTATTTATTTTAGATTAATATAACAAAATAAAAAACATCACAGCCCTTTGTACAAGAAGATAAGTTCTACCTGCTAAAATAAGGTGTCGTATAAATTATTTATTTTTTAAGATTCACAGCATCCACTACACAAGTAGCTCTATGAAATATGAATATTTACTAAATATAATACATTTCTATACAATTCTTTACAATATGACATTAACAGGATACATATATGTATATGCCTGTATATTCTATGCATATAAGCTTGTGTTTAAATACATATAGACACATAAACTCCAATGCAAACATTGATAGACCCATGAGGAAAGGGTGCATATCTCTCTTTTACATAGGTATGTATGGATGCGTGCATATGTGTGGGTACATTGATACATTTTCTGCTATGGATGTGGAAAATATTGGAACTGGTTATCATTAAATCTTTTAGGTCTAGATTAGGAACCAGCACTAGACAATGTGCTCTGTGTCATCCAGACTTCGTTAAAATTTAATGAAATGGAGGTAGGTTGTCACTGACTACTGCTTAAAGGCAGCATTGCTCACAGACCGAGCAGTATACTTTTCAAGATGGCCAACCAAGAGTCTATTGAGAAATAGAGGATTTTCGGCTATGTACAACAAACAAAATAATCCTCTCTGGACTCTTTTACCCATTGACTGTAATCATCATGCCAGCCAGTGAAGGATTGGAAATTTATGACAATGGTGGCAGTGATTCGGATTAGACCAGGAACCTATGATCAGTGATATAGCATGTGTCTTTGTTAAGATCAATGATGTCAACATCAGTGTGTAGTCAGTATTGACAATGCCCACTGATGGGACCATGTCATAAGTGCAGAAATACAGAATTTATAACATAACCCAAATACATCACAAAAAATTTGTAGATTTACATCAGATCTCCTAGTTAGTTAACCATAGGAAATAAGGCCAGATTGCCAAGTTATCTGATTATAAAGAGGAGACCATCAACATTTAAAAAAAAAAAGTAATAACAACATATATCAACTGACACCATTCCATTTTTGCCATATAATGACTATTTAAATAAATTACACGGTATGGAGGAGAGGTCTTTCTAATTATTTCTACATGCTTTTTTCTGTTTTGATATATATATATGCAAAAGATTGTGGGACTATCATATAAACAGATTAGCTCTTACCAAGCTATAACTCCCCACCGATCTAGAACTTCAAGAATCTAAACCATAAACTCCCACTGACATTTAAACTTCTACTGATTATAGGTGATAGACAATCAATAATAGTCTGAAGGTTCCATCGCTGTAATGTGCTAATTTTTAAAACTTTAAGCCTATATTTTACAATTGCTTTGTTAAAAGGAGTGAGTCCACCATGAATACTACTCCACTTGAGGTAGGTGGTCAAAACTGCAGGACAATTTGATATCAATAAGAACTGGAACATTCAAGCTCTGTGCTGTCATGTCTACAAAAGTCAAAATTAGTTCAATTATGAAATAACAGAAAAGGGTATACATTTGCCTTTTTCTCTTGTCTTAGATTTGCTCAACACTGAAATCTATGAAATCAAAAAGATCTATAAAATCAGACTTTAAACTTACAGTTAAACAAATGTAAACCTCAACATGTCATATTCCTCGCATTAAACATGTTAAAAAAATCCACCGTTTCTTACTTTATCAAAAATATTCTATAAAAAAGAATGAAAACTCAACAAATAATTAAGTCTTCAATTTAGATAATTCCGCAAATGTTTTACGTTCCAAAATTAATCTGAAATGTAACTCGATGGTGACCGTCCATATAAGTGCAAAAAATTTACATTCAAATTATTATACATGAAACGGCATGATAGGGCGCCTGAACAAGTTTGAGCCTTGCGGACATGTAGAACCTCTACGTCAGTGATTAGTCTATCCTTGCTCCATTCATTCAGAAATCTCAAGCCAGAGTTATTTGCAAAACAATGAGACTTGCAGTGTGTATCTCTAAGGGCTATGCCTATAATACCACCTGTAATTCAGTTATGAGATTTTAGCACGCCTTGAAATTCTAATTTATTTTTAGGGTATTTGCATACAATATGTAACATTCATAAAAAGTGCAGATAGTAGACGAAATGCATAGTTTTAATAAACAATGAATTGGCTCATAATATATTTTAACATCATTTTTGTCAGTTAGATATTCGAGCAACTCTGTAGAAAAACACATTTGAAGTGAGGGCCTCCTCTTACAAGTATTATATTATTGTGTCTTTGCAGAGGATATAAAACTGTCTTCATGTATTTTGCAATTTTAAGATGAATGAGGCTACACGCAGATCTCACTGGTCTCAACAGTTTGTTTCCATTGTTGCCATCTAAGTAAAAATTGGTACATGTCCCATTAAAAGACACAACTCGTCATCTTTTTCAGTAGTTGGTATAATTTACTCAGCTTCAAAATAAATAATTCACATCCTGGTCATTACTGTTGGGCTTGGGCTTGGGCTTGGTGTGCTGTCCGTATTGTTTGCACCATTTATTGTAGACCAGTTCGTATCACGCACATATGTTGAAATTTTGCTTTTAATTTTATTTATTCCACTCCTGCCCATAATATTCCTTCGAACATTTTGGCCAGAAAGAAAGTACAATATCGGATCGATACAGCTGTTGGCACAGGCCAGAGGTCTAGTCACTTTGTAGGCCATGTTGATAGCATTTAAGACATCACAGTCAAGATCCAACTTTCGAAAGTAATAGTAAAGAGTCCGGTTAACGTGGAAAGGTAAGAAACACACGCTGAAGACGATGAGCACAATAATAATCATTTTGATTGATTTTTTCTTGGTGTTTGAAGTTTGAGAACTGACTGCTGACGGCTTCAAAAGAGCTATGGTCATTAAGCTATAACACACCAAGATCGTAACAAATGGAACGCAAAAGAGCAAAGCAAGGTTGACCGTGCTGTACGTCACAAATGTATCAAACAGGTCTGAACTTGAAGTGTCATGGCAGATGGTGTTGTCGCCGTTGGTACTGGTAGTCACAAAATACAATATTGGAGACTGAAAAGCAATGACAATTAACCATACAACAACAGATGTGATCCGTGCGTTGCGCACCTTCAGCAAACCAAGGGACCTCATTGGATAACAAATTCCAAGAAAGCGGTGAATGCTGATGCAGAGAAGGAAGAAGATGCTACAGTACATGTTGGTATAGAAAAGGAATTTGACTATTTTGCACAAGACCACACTGAACGGCCAGTTGTCACCTTGAGAATAATAATATACAAGTAATGGCAGGGATACAACGTAGAGCATATCTGATACGGCCAAGTTGAACATGTATGTTGTT